CCTGCCGAAAATAACGGCGCCTGCCGAAAATAACGGCGCCTGCCGAAAATAGCGGCGCCTGCCGAAAATAACGGCGCCTGCCGAAAATAACGGCGCCTGCCGAAAATAACGGCGCCTGCCGAAAATAACGGCGCCTGCCGAAAATAACGGCGCCTGCCGAAAATAACGGCGCCTGCCGAAAATAACGGCGCCTGCCGAAAATAACGGCGCCTGCCGAAAATAACGGCGCCTGCCGAAAATAACGGCGCCTGCCGAAAATAACGGCGCCTGCCGAAAATAACGGCGCCTGCCGAAAATAACGGCGCCTGCCGAAAATAACGGCGCCTGCCGAAAATAACGGCGCCTGCCGAAAATAACGGCGCCTGCCGAAAATAACGGCGCCTGCCGAAAATAACGGCGCCTGCTAAACCCTAAACCCTAAACCCTAAACCCTAAACCCTAAACCCTAAACCCTAGTAGTAGTAGTAGTAGTAGTCGATTTTATTAGAATGCTAGAATAGTCGCATCGGGTACCTTCCCGGTCTAGTCTAGTCTAAATGGGTTCTGACGCTTGGCAGAGCGGCCCTTCTTGGATGGCCCGTTGTGGCATCCAGGGTTCTATCGCTGTTCCGCTTTTTCTGTTGTTTCCATAGTCCTCCGTTCCGAGCCGCCGGTGCCGTATCTCCTCCGGGCCCGGGTTGACGGTTTCAGTGTAACCGTCCACCTTTCTATTTTTTGCGCTAAGTCCATGTCCCTTCCCCGCCTGCCGCCTGTGAAGCTTCCCCGTCAGTCTGTCCTTGTTGACCTTTCCCCTGTCGTCATCCATCTGTCTCCTGTGTCCTTGCCCCTTCCTTGCCATGTTGGTTGTTTTTCGCCTATGAGGCTTCACCTTCGGTCTGTCCGTTGACCGTTGCCCTTTCGTCTTCATCTGTCTTCTGTGTCCTTGCCCCTTCCCAGCCATGCTGATCCTGGTTGCTAGCTTTTGAGGCTTCCCTTGTGATCTGTCCTCGTTGATATTTACCCCTTCATCTTCCAACCATCTTATATCCTTCATGCTTGTTCTCTGTTGGTCGTGTCTCCTCGTCTCCTTGAGGTCCACAGCATGTGTTGCACTTCGAGCAGCTGGATGACTATCTTGGTCATGGCTCTGTCAATCATATCCTCGTCCATGAGCAAGTTCCGGAAATTTGTGGTCCATTCCCGCTCCATAATACTGCCTCTCACTCCTGCAATGAACGTGGCTTGTATGACCTCTGTGTTGTCGCTCCTACTTGTCATCTCTGCCCGCAGTGCTGCATATTTCTGTTCTTTCTCCTGAAACTTTGCTTTCAGGTTTGCCAGACTGCTTCCCTCGCCCGTGAACTCTGAAGTTCTTGCTATCTCCACCAGCACAATGCGATTGCTTCCTCTGAAGTAGCAGAGCCCATCTGGTATAAGATTGCCGTGCTCTGGTGCAGTCAGTCCTAGCCCTGTCATAGAGTTGATTGGCGTTTGCCACCAACTCTCCTGTTCAACACTTTTCTTCTTCCAGCTTTCTGTCAGGCATCCCTTGATTGTCTCCATTACTCTGTTGTGTGCCAAAGCGATCATGAGCTCAAATTCTTTGCAGGCTAGCTGGATATGCACCCAGCTTTCTTCCCTGCCTTCGCACCATGGGCAACAGGGGGATGTCGTCTTCTTCCACTGGAACAGCTTTTTCCTCGTAGGTGCTGACCAGGTAATAGCTTGGATGGCTGTCCGAAGTACTGATCCTCGACACCTCTGTAAGGCTCGACCTAGGATCCTTCTGCCCACTTGTGGTTCCAGGAGAAAGGTTTCCGTCAAGGTAAGGGGGGCTTCTTTCCTCCTCAGTTCCAGTTGTTCTTCTCTGATTATCTTATCCCATATTTTCAGTCGATCCATCCCCGGCTTGAAGTTCTCTTCGTCTGCAATGCAGAATCCCAAGTCGCTGTCGATGAGGGCCCTTTCCCACGTGGAGGAGAAGGAGGATTTTCCCTTGCGAGCTTCCTCTGCAGCTTCTTGCACTACGGTGTGGTCTGCGATCAGAGAGAGGTTGATCTCAATGCCTTCCCGCTGAAATTTGCTCAGGCATTCCTGCAGTCTTCCTGCCAAGTCGTATACGAGCTCGTCTTCATACTGCATGGTAGACCATCTGAGGGTGTCCGTAAGAAAGCGATGCATTCGGGTTGATTTAAAGAGGACGAAGATTTTCCTGATTGTTTTCTGTTTGCCTCTTTGTTCCCAAATCGCTTGTAGGAGTATGCAGAGTGCGATGGTATGTGCTCTGATGACGCTACATTTTCCGTGTATCTTGATCGCTCCGCGTTCCTGCTCTCCTTCCTTTTCTTGCGTGCTGTATCCTATCGACATTGATCGACCCTTCCTGTTTCGTGATATGTCGCCGTGGATTGCGGACCACACGTGGTTCCTGTTCTTCTCCTGTTTGGCCGAGGCTTGATAGTTTTCGTTTTGCTTCCTTCGGTATTCTTGTAGCTCCTCCTGTTCAGGGATCAGGTGTACTGTGAGTTGGACAATTATTCTCTCTTGTTCCGACTCTTTGCAGTAGACAATCAGGTCGTCTTGTGACTTCCTGAGGCTCCGATCGCCCGTCCTCCAGAAATTTGCAGCGTAACATATTTCTGATCCTTTAGGTACCTTACCGACTAGCATGAAGCCGTCAGGGATTTCTTTCCTGAAGCAAGTTTGGTTCCATCCGATCATGATTGTTCCGGACTCGCATGCGGCGTGGCTGAGGTATTGCTCCTGTTGGTCGATCCATATTATTTCACGTCGAACCTCGTCGTCCTGCAAGCTGTCTGTTGCGGCCTGGATTGTCGGGTGATAGAGGGTGGGCCAGTTGCTGAACTGTTTTGTTTCAGCGAGCATCCCCAAGTGTTCTAGAAATTCGTACGACAGCGGAAGGCCTTGTTGTCTATCTCGGATTTCAGCCATGGCGGTGGTTAGATGTTCCCACCAAGCTTGCGAGTTGAGTAAGCTGTTGTGTTTTTTGCTGATATGCTTAGCAATTTGCAGTAGGATCTCTGTCTTCTCTGGGTTCTTGGCGCCATCTTCATCTTCTTTCCTCGCAAATGGTGCCGAGCGAAGGGAAGGTTCGGCTTCTTTGATGTCTTGTTCTTGGCCCGTGTGACTTCTGGGCCGGTCCATGATTGCTATGTCGCCCTTGATTTTGAAACTTTCCTTACCTTTTAGGATAAGGTGTTCCTGTTGATCCAGATTGCCTAGTAATTTAGCCATGAGGGATCTTGTGTTTGCATGAGCTGGGTGTGGCCTTCTCTCTTCTGCTGCTTCCCGATGCTTTTTGGATGTCTCCTCCCGGTCCTCCTCTGATTGCGGGTGTGACTTTCGTTTTCGGGTTGTAGCACTATCCTGTGTGACAGCCTCTCGTCTTTTCCTCTTTGTTCCTGATGCTCTGTTGACGCTGCTTACCCAGATGACATTTTCTTGTAGCAATTGCATTACGATCCCCTCCGCCTCCTCGCGTTGCCTTGGGAAAGGCCAGAGCTTCCTTGGCAAATGCAGTTCTTCGTCCGCGATAGGTCGTACATTGCGTAGCAAGGAGAATTGGAGTTTCGGGAGTTGCCTCCATAAGGCTTGGAAGTTCGTCCAGCCCTGTGGTCTGTTACAGTCGTTCAAGTTTGCCACCATATCCTCCATCCTATGAAGGAGGGAGATGCTTCCAGGTAGGTGACCTGCTTCTATATGGGCCCAGCTGATCCTCGTGTTTAGTTTTTCCGCCAGCCAGACTGCTAAAGCTTCGGGTCCCCGCACCACATCCCGCTCCATAGTTCGAAAATTCATTTCTCTTTGGAGCTCGAGCATTGTTTGACACCCCCATTTTACGCACGAGTTTCTGAGTTTAGATATCAGTCTATCTTGGATGTCTCCACCATGCTTACTATTCACTTCTCGTTCGATGTATCGTAACGCTGCTCTCCCTAGGATTGGGGCAGGATGAGGGACCTGCAGCCCTCCATTCTCTGTTGGCAGGTAGAATATACCATTCCCTGTACTTTTGCTTAGGCCTAACGCTTTTTTAAAAGCTCGTATCCACAGTTGATCTAATTCTTGTAGGTCTCGCCAAGTCCATCCAGTCATGACTGCGGAGTAGCGAAAGACGTTGAGAATTCCAACTTTCACCAGGTAAAATTTTTGCGCAGGAGTATAACTCGACGAGCTGATATTGTTGATCAGTTCTTTGGTTTCTTCAAAGACGTATGCTCGTTCTCCCCAAGTGAAAGGGCAGCCCTTTATTCTTCGTCTTTCTTCCTTCCACAGAGAGATGCGATAGCCGAGATATTTGAACGGTTTAGTAGCCGGTAGGGCTTCGACAGGTTCCCCCATGACCGTTATTTTGTTCGCACCAGGAACCTCTCCCTTGCGAGCATAGTCGAAGCTGGTTATCTCTGATTTCTTATTGTTGATTTGCAGTCCTGACCATTTGCAGAAGGAATCCACCACTGCTACCAACTCTCGCATTTCTTTCATCGTGTGTGCGATGAGTACCATGTCATCGGCGAAGGACAGGTTGTTTGTTGTTCCTGTGCTGCACTTGTCCAATTGCCTAGAGAGGATGCATAGCACCAAGTTGGCCAGTTGTGGGCTACTTGCTCCACCTTGTGGCAGCCCGATCATTAGAGGTATTTTCCCTGTGTTGAACTCGTTTGTTTGTATTTGCAGTTCGACTCCACTGTTGCAGGCTATCACAGTTCTAATGTCTTCAGGATGGAAGCCTAGGCTGTTCATTGCCTGCTCGACCACCTCGATCGCCACATTGTTAAAGAAGTTCGCAAAGTCCAGGTACAAGAGAATGAGGGACGTTTTGGCCTCTTCTGCTTCTTCTACGATCGAGATCAGTCGATGAGCCTGCCGACTTGTGCTTCTGCCTGGACGGAACCCCTCCTGGAAGTTTGTGAGGACGTTATTTGCTTCTACTGTCTTACTCAGACGATGCGCCAGGATTGCCTGAACTAGTCGAGTAAGCGTTGACATGACGCATATTGGCCGCATGTTTTCGAGAATGTGACAGAATTGATTTTTTGGCAGGAGGCGTACTCTCGCTGTCTTGTTGAGAACCTCAGCTTTGCCTTCTAGGGCTGCATTGACTAACTTACCAACTTCCTCTCGGCATGCTGGTGGCAGCGCCCGCAGCACTTCGTTCGAAATGAGGTCAAGTCCTGCAGCCTTTCGTCTCGGCGCCGAGGCGAGCCAGACATCAATCTCTCCCGGTGCCAGGGGTCTGGTGATTTCCTGTTGTTGTCTCCTTGAAAGCTGCACCCCCTCAGGCGGTGTGATCCGTCTTGGGGCCACGGTTGTGAACGACTTACATTTTGTGCAGTACGGGGTAATCCCTCCCCCTCCGATGGTCTCGTCGCTTGAGTCAGCCAAGGGGAGCATACATCCGATGTTTGAGCATTTTAAGCAGGTCCCTTGTTTCGTGCATGCGTTGACGCTGAAGAAGAATCGTGTATGGTCCGCGTCCTCTAGCTCTCTAACCTTCTGCATTGGGAGATGATCCGTGAGATCACGGTATCCTGCTATCTCCCATGTTGTTTTATCCGATTCTTCTAGTGCTACAATTGCTTTCGTGATTGTGTTTGCAGGTAGCAGTGATAGAAAGATCCAGTCATCTGTCCCTTCTCGCTCGATCCCAATCATCAGTTGCTGGTTTGCACTCCAAAATGCTCTAACGCCCCTCGTGTCTTCGCTAGATAAGGTTGCTTCGATTTGGTTGATGAGCTCGTCGGCATTGTCGACTATCTTGCCGAGCAGTCGAAGAGCCAAGCCTTTGTGGCAACGAAGGGAGTTAGGGTGTTTTTTCTTGATGTCTTGACTTATCATCGGTTCTTTGGGAATGAAATCATTCTTGCGTCCCATTGCATTCTGGGATTCACGGCTGCCTACCGTGCCTAGCCGTGTTTGCTGCTGTTGGCAGATCTCTTGGAAAACTTCGTTGTTTTGTTCTTCACATATCGTTCTGAACCTCTCGATCTTAGTTCGCAATTCTCTTTGTAATGTAGCTTCCGTAGGTACTCCAGTCGCTGGGCTTTGCTGTGATGCTTCCCTAAGTTTAGTCCGCAAGTTGCGGATCGATCTCTTCAAATCCATTTGTTCTTTGTTCGAATGTCGCCTCCCTCCCTTTCTGATTTTCACCTCCTTTAGTGGTAGAGAGTTGGCGAGCATCTCACAAATGTTACATTCTTGCGCCTTAGCTCGCATGTCTCGTATGTTTGCATCTAGTTGTTGCGCCCATTCGATCTTCTTCTCCTCCCACGAATCGCGATCCAGCACCCATCTGCTTTTAGGGGTTTCCCCCTTCTTCTGTCGTGAATTCATCTGATGCACTTCTACTCGTGGGATTAGCTGCGTCTCCTCGGACGTGAACTTGGTGTGTACTTGCACCACCAGGGCTCTGTGATCAACTGCTCCCCCTATCACACAGCCGTCGACCGTCCACGATTGAAGGGAGATGTTTGGAAAGTTGTCCTCGTCACTTGGGGGGTGAATAGCGAGAACTGCGTCGAGTTTGGCTTCTATCAGTTCTTGTTTGTACCATGTTGAGAAGGTAAATGTTGTCCCAGTCTCGCTGATCTGTTCATATGAGAGTGTACGGTGTGCGGAAAGGTCTGCCAGGAATTTCTCGAATCTCTCATCTGCTTTTGCGGTGATAGATGAGGGGGAATATCCTCTCCGCATTGGTGTTGTTGTGTTGGTTCTTGCTGCATTAAAGTCTCCGGCTATGATGTGTGTCTCTCTCGTTCCCAGAGCGAGGTGTAGCAGCTCTGCCCACAGTTCCCCTTGCTCTCGAATCGCATTTTCCGCAGGTACCTGATGGAGGTTTGTGACTAAGAAAGAGTTTTTCCCTGTTCCGACTTTGATCGAAAACACTCGGTTTCGATATTTCTTTTCTTTGTTGCACGCCTGGTGAGCGGCAGGGGAGGGTGACGGCGACAGGGCCGCATGTACCAGCGTTACCAACCTCAGGTCTCCTTTCCCCTTCTTCGCATTGATCTTTGCAGGCCCCAGGAAGATTCTGTAGCAGGCCCAGTTCTCCTTGATCATCTTCCTTAATTTGTTCTCGTCGCGGGCCGAGACCCTTACCTCTTGTAGTAGCACAACCCCAGGTTGGAAGGACTGGATTAAGTATGCGAGGATGTGCTTGAGAACAAAGTGATTGCAACCATTCACATTTTGTGAGATGAGGAAACCTGGGTCTGAGCTTTTTCGATGCATCTGCGCCCAATCATTGCCCCTTTGCTCCTCCTGCCTTTCCCCCCTCCGCTCCTTCCCTCTCTGGGAGGTTTTCTCTCCTGATTGTGCATTCTCCTCCATTTCCTCACCCAGATGTCTTGGTTGGGGCTTCGTGGAGGTCGCCTGCCGCTGGATTGCGATCGGCTGTACCTCCTCCTCAAGCTTTGTCGTCGAGGTCATCAGCCGCTGGATCGCGTGTGGCTGTACCTCCTCCTCAAGCTTTGTCGTCGAGGTCATCAGCCGCTGGATTGCGTTCGGCTGTACCTCCTCCTCCGGCTTTGTCGTCGAGGTCATCAGCCGCTGGATTGCGTTCGGCTGTACCTCCTCCTCCGGCTTTGTCGTCGATGTCAAGTTCTCTTGCACCCTCGCCTCCTTCGGCAGAGATCGCAGAATTACCTGGGCCGTTTCCTCCATCTTCTCCAGATGGGTGAGAGCTTCCATCGTTGCTAGCCAGTCTTGATTTGTCTCGCAGAGCAGTAGGGTGTGAAGGATAGCGAACACTCCGCAGTTGAAGTTATCTTCCTGTTGGAAGGCTGAGCACCACTTTACCTGCCATGGGGCGTTGGTCTGATCGTCAAAGATGTGTTCGATCACTCCGATTGTCAGCTCAGCCATTTCTCTTGCTCCGTGCTCCCCCGTTGTTGCAAGATTCCTCGCTCCCTCGATCCCTCGTGGGTCCCTCGTTGTGCTCGTTCTGTCCTCGCAGAGAGGGTCCAATATGTACGCGCATCGCCGATCATATCTTAATGCAATTAGAATCCAGTGGTTGCTGTGGATGATAGTTGGAAACAGGAAGGTGTGTTGCTCATCTCTCAAGCTGCTGAGGTGAAATCTGTTCCCGACTCTCCAGCGGGACGCCTCGTCTCGCAGACTGGATATTACCCTTGGCAAGAAGATGATGTTCCGCGTTTGCTGGTCCTCGTGGGCTCTCCCTTTGCGTACCATGTGTATTGCTCGTCCTCCTTGAAGAGCCTTGCTCATCTCATTGAGAGTAACTTCGATCATGTTCTCGCATAAAAATCCGCTTACTCCTCGATTGTTCAGGGCAGTGATGCCAAATTCCTTGTCGCCTCGTTTGTCTGACCATGGGATCTCCTCGATCCAATCAAAAAAATACAGTGTTCTATCTACATGTTGCGTTTCCTTTGAAACCGTTTCCATCTCCCCCCCTTGCCTACTCCCGGCACTCCCCCCTTCCTCCTCCCTTCCTCCTCCTGTCATGATTCGGTTTTAGAGTTGAGAGGCAACCTCTCCCTCTTGGTTGCCACTCTCCTCTTCCATCTCCAGTCCCATCTCCTCCTCTGCCTTGCTCAAGAGAAACTCAATTTCGTCTCCCGAGCCAACGCTGCCTTGATAGGTTAGCGTAGCTGTGGAAACTACTTTATTCAGGGCAAGAAACAACAGGTCAGTTCGAAATTCTTTTTGTTGTTTCTCCCCTCCTCTCCCTGTTGCTTTTGCAAAGGCTCCCTGGCGTCTTCTTGATGCTACCGTCTCCCACGCATGCTGCTCGCTTACTCTTGCAATCTTACTCTTCAAAACTTGCATGTCGTCGTCCTGGGTTGCCGAGGATGATTCCGCCCATTCCTTCAGCGTCGGAAAACATGCATTTCCAGGAGATGACAAGCTGTCGTACAGGCCGACGATGGCTCCATCGAGCCTGAGTTTGCAAGCTTGGTTTTCTGCACTCTGTCCCTGGTTGACAGTCTCCTCTAGAACTTTGTAGATGTCTTCGAGGACCACGTTTGCCTCTGGTTCTGGGATGTTGATCTCATTCTCGATCCGTTCGAGATCTACCTGAGCCCAAAGAGGCTCTGTAGGGGGTTCTGTAGCGATCGCTTCCCAGATGTTGGCACTGCCTGGCTCTAGGAGAAGAAGTTTCCCTGCCCTGTCCCATGGCGCAAAGGACCTGAGGATGTCAATCGCCGTTTCTTTTTCTGAGAAGCTGAGCACTAGATGTTCACCGTTCCAGCTGTTGGTCTCGACATCTTCTTTCGAGGAGATCTTGACGATGTGCTCAGCCGCTGACTCCTTCCA